GTTCAGAGTCTGAGGCCAGCCTGGGGTATAAAGTGAGCTCAAGGCCAGCCTAAAATGCATGACACACTGTCTCAGAAAGACAAAAAAGAAGCTTAAGTACTATAAATCCACAGTGCAAAAGTGGAAATATCAATGGCAGCAGAAACTGCAAAGCCTGCATGAATACATGGAAATGAATTACCACCTTCCTGAGCAACCAATGGGTCACAGATAAAATTTAAGACCATTTGTACAGGGGGCTGGAGAGATGGCTCAGTGGTCTAAAGCACCTACTTGGAACAAGCTTGGCAAAGCACAGGGACCGCGGTTCAACCCTCCAGCACCACATGCCAGCCAGCCCCACCCCCTGGTGGGCTGAGCTGGCCACACACACAATAAATATAATAATTTTTTTTAAAAAGACCATTTGTACAATTAAACAAGGCAAATAAAACATCCCAGAATTCATAGGATGCAATGAGAACAGTGCTATGAGGGAAATTTACAGCAGTGAATTATCATAGAAAAACACAGCAATGCAACTAAACTTAATGTTCACACACTTCCACAATTTACTTGCACAAATTAAATGTTATCCTGATGCAAACACCAACAGCATACCTTACAAAATTAATGGAACCATCCCCCTCCATGCATTTGGAAACCAAAGAGACCTAGAATAGCAAGAATCCTGAACAGGGGTCGGGGAGATGGCTCAGTAGGATAAGCGCTTGACTGACAAATGCAAGGATCTGAGTTCAATCCCCAGTTCCGCCAAAACAAAAAAACCAAAAAAGAATCCTGAACAACAAAGACAAGGCAAGGGGCAGCACAGTCCATTATTTGAAATTATACTACAGGCTGGCCAAATAGTTCAGCAGATTAAAGCTTCTGCAAGCAGTCGCAGAGGCCGGGGGTTCAATCCCCAGGCCTGCTGTGCTGCCCCACCCCTAGGGCACACTTGAGATGGTAATACTGGGCATGGTGGTGTGTGCCTGCAATCCCAGCTCTTGGGAAGCTGTAAAAAGGCAGATCACTATGAGTCTGATCTAGTAGTGAGACCCTGAACACCCTGTAGACCCTTCAAAAAAAAAAATGGCACCGGCAAAAAAGACCTGCACATCAATACAACAGTTTAGAAGATTCAGAAACAACTCCAAACATACTCAGCCACCTTAATTTTGACAAAGAAAAACATGCTCATTGGAAGAAAGCCTCTCTAATGATGGTGCTGGAAAAACTGGCTTCCCACACATGTAGATTAAAACTAGACCACTACCTTTTACTATATGCTAAGCTAAAATTAAAATAGGCCAAAGATCTAAATATTACAACAGAAACACTAAATCTGTTGGAAGATAGAACAGGTACAACTCTTAATGACAAATATTGGTGGATAAATACAACTATGGCAAGGGCCAGCGGTACAGCTCAGCGGACTAAGCGCTTGCTCAACGAAGCCCAGGGGCCAGGGTTCGATCCCTGGCCCCAGTTGCTGCGCCAGCCCCGCCCTCGGGCGCGCTGAGCCCGCAATGGAGTCTGGGCGCAGTGGTACGATCCTGTAATCCCAGCCATGGGGAGGCAGAAAGCAGGAGGATCGCTACAACCTACGTAGTGAGACCCTGCACAGAAAAAAAAAAAAAAAAAGAACTATGGCAAAGAATCAAGAACTGAGATCCCATGTTATGAAAAAGCTTAAGATTCCCCTACAAATTTACTCAATCCAAAAATGAGCATCTGAGATTAATACACTTCTCAGATAAAGTACTAACAGCAAATAAACAAATGAATAAGTGCTCGATTTTTTGGCAGCATCATTCATCAATACAGTGTAGCCACCATGTACCTAGCATATACGATGTCTTAGGTATCCTAAGAGATCTAGAGATGACCTCAGGTCTGCAGAGGGTGTGCATCTACTACACATAGTAACAATCGTATCACTTTACACAAAGGATTGACCGGCCAGAAGGTAGTCCTAGAACTGATTCCCAGTAAAGATCTTGGGACAATGGTGTACACCTACGGTATGTAGAAACATAATACCAACCCCAGCATAGAAGTTCACAAGTTAAAAAGCTACTGACCCCTCCATCATTAATCTCAAGCAAAATGAACAGGCAAGCAGAAGCTGTTAACCTGAAGACAGTGTGATGAACAATCCAGGCCCACTACTCAACGCAGACATGAACTTATTATTAATTCCCCATTGTACATTTCAAAATGAATCTCATTTTCCATGACCTCAACTCATTACTGAACACAAATTTACTTTCAAAACACACTAGTTCATGTTAAGCCCTATTTATGGAAACATAACAAAACACATTCCAGGTACATGTTTTCCTCTGAAGGGTAAAAATTTTTAATTGAGAAATTTTTTTACCGCACATTTTTTAGAGTCACAAAAGAAAGCAAAAATGTTGTCCTCCCCCCATCCTAAAAATAAATAAGGGCAAACTTTTTTTTTAAAGTCATGACACTTAGAAGTTTAGCACCAGCATCCAAAATGAACAAAAAAGGAAAGAAAGCATTTACTATATAACAATTTCTGGTATCTTTGGTTGGGGTTCTCCCCATGTAG